TAACTGGTGGGGAAATGATTGGAATGCTTCTGCTTCTGGAATGTTACGATTCATTGAACTGCTTCCACTGCCATGTATTTCCTTCGGTACAACAGATACATACAATGGGACTTCGGAGGGATGTGGAGGGCCTCTTAAAAAAAAATCTAAGACTATGGTCATCAAAGATGTAATACTTCGGAACCTGGTACTGCAGATTGAACTTATATACACAGTGTATCAAGATTTTGAACCGATCCGGATCTATTCGGGTAAGGCTGAACATAGCACTAAGAAGCTCCTCATAAGTTATAGAGTCGTCCACATCCAAACCTCCTATAATTCCACCTTCATATAGAAATTGTGACTCATTCCAACTACCACCATAACTAACAAATAGGCGAGGCATCCTGCATGTGGAAAGAGAAGAATTCAAAATTCGAAATTCGAAATTTTCGACGTTCTCGGGCGGAAGATATTGTCGTTCGGGCGAGAATTCACGCCCGTATACAATATGATTCTCGCCCGAGAAACTCATATTATATTGTCATTTTTGACCGTGAATAACCCTAACTTCGCCCGAGAATCATGGAAAAATACAGAGTACATGCCCCAAACATGTCGTTCTCTAAGGAAGAATAAAAACCACAAAGATGCACTCAAACGTTTCCAAATAAACAAAAAACAAAAGGGTAGACATATAAATGTGCGACTTCAGAGACGAAAAACACAAAAAAAGACCATTCTTTGTAAATGACATTTCACCTACCTCGTTTGTGTAGAAATCTTACTCAGCTACAAACAAACCGCGTGGTCAGATGGATTAGTTACTTTCAATGTACAATATTCTTTTTGGTTTGCTGAAGTAGAGTACGAAGTGCACAGATGAAGAAGACTGGTTTGCTGAAGTGCACAGATGAGAGGTGGTTGTTTGATTAATTGGAAAACCTTAAATTCTCGGGCGAAATAATACCAGTTAACGGCCGGAAATTCATTGTAAGTCAACCCAACTTCTCGCCAATTCTCGCCCATAAACAACCCAAAATTAGCATTTTGGCCAATTTTCGGGGCGGGAAAAATGCGATTTCGCCCGAGAATTAGTTATCATTTTCACGCTTACGGCCGGGGAAATCACGTTTAAGCCCGAGAATTGACGCTATAATTGAGGGGTAATTGGGTACATTTATTTCCACTGACAATTCTGAAAAAACAGATTTGGGTCATTCAAAACAATTTTTGAGGGGTGGGTTATTTGAGCAAATTGGAAACTTAACAGGATCATATGAGTCATTTTCCCCAGAAAAAGGGGTGGGGTGGGTGAGACGGCTAAGGCAAGAGGAAAGGGAAAGAGATGGAAAAAAGTTAGGGTTTTCTATTTTAATTTTTGTTTTCTTTTCTTTCCTTCTCCGTTTTCTTTTATCAAACCTTTTTCACTTATTTGTTTTAAAAACAAAATACCCAATAACACAAAATCTAAAAAGAAAGCCTAAAATTACACTTTATTAACCAAACTAAAACTCACAACAACCCAAAACAAAATAATTAACTTAACCCTAAAATCCAAGAGTTCAATTCAAAAATTATAAATTAAATTTTTCAAAAACCTTGGATTTAAGATTTAGTTAAAAATCCATTCTAAAGTTCAAAAACTTAATTTATCTTAATCCAACCAAAATAAACTTGAATTCTAATTTAAATTCTAACTTACCCAAATTAGAACTCTAAATTTAGAAAAAATCAAGAATTTAAATTATCAGCTTAGAGAAAAAAATCTAAAGGCACAATTTAAATCCTAAAATAAACTAGCCAAAGAACGAGGGGCGTTATAGTGTGAACCAACTCCAATTTTGTAGACTCTGGCGTTGAATCTGTCCTTGAGAAACTAACACGACTCTGTTTCCCAAATATGCATCCTTCACATAACTTGTGTTCCACTGTTTTAAGTTCTTCTAGTTTCCCTGCAGAGTGAAGAATTTTCACACCTTTTTCACTCGTATGTCACAGCCTACTGTGCTATAATTTAGTCTGACTAGAATGATCTACAACAGCTATCATGTCTTTGTCATTGTCGTTGACATGCAAAGTTCTTTACTTTCTTCCTCAGCGATCACCATGGAACACTTTGTAACTTTCCAGTTTCCTTGACCGAATGATATTTCACATCCTTCATTATCCAGCTGCCCCACGAAAATCAAGTTCTTCATCGTATCCTGAACGTGACATACCTTGCGGATCTTCCAAACTGAATCATTTGCCATTTTTAAATTAATGTCACTAATCCCAATGATGTCCAAAGGCTCTCCATCAGCAAGATACACTTTTCCATGATTTCCTACAACGTAGTTCTGAAGAATACCAAGTTGCCTTGTAGTGTGAAAAGACGCACCTGAATCCACCACTCATGTGTTATGAGCACCTTCAACTGCAAGAACTAGAGCATCATGTATTTCTTCAGCAACAACATTTGCACCAGCTTCTTTCCCCTTAGCTTTCTTTGAGGCTTTGCAGTTCCTCCTCTGATGTCCTGTCTTACCATAATTCCATCATTCTAGTCTGTTGTTTTTCAACTTGCTTCTATTGTTTCTTGACTTTCCACGTTTTCCGTGGTCTTTGCTATTATTTCTTCCTTTGTCCACATTCAATGATGTACCAGAAGTAGATGTAATACCAGAATCCTTTCTGCGAATCTCCTCCCCAAGAGCTACATCTCTGACATCTATGAATTTCAATTTCTCTTTTCCACAAGAATTTGAAATAGCTGCCTTCATAAGCTCTCAACTGTCAGATAAGGATCTCAACAATAAGATAGCATTTAATTCATCCGTAAATGTTAAATCAACAGCAACCAGTTTGTTAACCAACACATCAAACTCATTTATATGGGCAGCCACAAATATACATTCATCCATCTTCAAATAAAAAAATTTAGTTGCAAGATACATCTTATTATTTACCGAGGACTTTTCATATATGTTGGACAATGCATTCATCAGCCCATTGTGGTAGTCTCCTTAGCTACGCCGCTCTGCACATTTTTTGTTAATGTTAGGCGAATCGTACCAAACGCCTTCCTGTCCAACTTTTTCCATTTGGCTTCTTCCATGTCAGCCGGCTTCTTGTCTAATGGCAATTCCAATTCATTGGAATGTAGATAATCTACTATCAGATCCTTCCAGTACGAAAAATCAGTTCCATAAAGAAGTAACCAATTTGTCTTCTCTAGTCATCGTTATTCAACCTTGGGCTCTGATACCAATTGTTGTGAAAAATGCAGCCAACTAATAATTATCTCAATCACAAATGCAGACAATATTTGTTAGCTTATCCCATATTAGGTTTAATACGGAATTCAAATTTCAAATTGAAACTTACAACTTAAAAGATTAGATAAAATAATCTAAAACTTCCAGTTCTCTGCTACCCTTGCAGGTTCTACTAGAATGTGAGGAAGAATCTCCCAAGAGTTTACAAGCTCTTTACAATGATTTCTCTCCCTTTTCCCTCACACAGAAAATGCTCACATATGACCCTACAAGTCTTTCAAACTCCCGAATCGATACACAAGTATTTAGCTTTCAAACTCTCTCTTCTTGGAGAATTTCTCACGACTCTCTATTTGTGCACACCAATCAAATGATCCATCTATCTCTATTTATAATAGATGATATGACAAAAACTAAAAGGGAAAGGGAAAATAAAAAAGCTAAACTAAATAGGACAAGGAAAAATTTAAAATGACCTTTCCTTATAGGAAAAATTTTTTCTGTTTGGTTTGGCTCCATAATCCCAACAGAAAGAATACATGACTAAAAATGATGTCACGATTTAGAGCCAAGTAGTCTTAAGTTAGAGTCAAACAGCTTCATTGAGGAATTTAGAAGTCTAAATAGGGGGAAATCAGCAGAGTTGAGGAGTAGGCCTCAAGAAACACTACCAAGCGACGCTAAACATCCAAAAAGAGATGGGAAAGAGCCGTTCAAAGTCCTAAGAGAAGTGGTAAGACACTATCCCACCCGATCCCACGTAACAGAAGTAGGTATCATAGCTCCAAGGAAGTTAAAGCAGAAAATCAAGGAAAAAAAAGTCTAGAGAAATCGATTCCTAACAGTAGTGGTGTGAATGCCGTGGAGCATCCATTAAGAAAGTTCCCAAGGTAGATAAGCAACCTGAAAAAGATATCAAAAAAGGGATGCTATAGCAACTGAAGGTAAGGAGACTGAAAAATAGAAAAAGCTTGCAGTTGAGGATACAGCAGCAATTCAAATATAAATACCAAAAAACGAAGTTCCATCAACCGACCTCTCATGTGTTGTCCACGCTTTTCGTAGTCTCCTATGATTCTATCCTTACCTTAGGCAAAAAATAATCATAAA